CATGGGGGGAAAACATAATCTTTTTTAAATTGTGATTTTAACTAAAGTTTGTAGAAAAGTTGGATTTTCACTTGTTCACTGTTGCACATTTTTCTCCCTGTTTACACCCCCCCCCCCCCGCCATTGACTTTAAAAAAGTATTTATTCATTGTAAATTTTATATCCTTCTACTGAGAAGTGACTCATGGATACAAACCATCTGCCTTTGGGTTGACAGTGAAACTCCTTACCCACCAGAGTTGTTTGGTGTTGTTGAGTTGAGTACAACTCATAGAAATTCTATAAAACAACAGATCTGAACCCTACCCTATCCTGTGCCATTCTTGTAATTTCTGACACACTCAAGCTGATTGCTTGCAGCAGACCAAGTTCACTCAGCCATAATGCTGTCCAGTTTTTCCCAAGTTATATAGTATTTTTTTAAATCATTGCTCCTGAGTGCTGTGTAATATTACATCATGTGAATATACCACAGTTTGTCAGTCCATTTGTTTGTGGTTGGGCGTGTGGACTGTTTCCATGTTCTTGCTATGGTGAATAATGTTGCCGTGAACATTGGTGTGTGACACTTGAGGCCTCAGCCAGCCATGAATGACTCTTTCGGGAGATTTTCTTTGCTTTGCTTCCATAGGGAAGTTAACTCAGTTGTACCCTAGGCCTGTAGGCAAACTTTTCTTTTTAAAAGTTTTTCTTTTGTGTTTATTAGCTTACAATGTTATATACATTGTGTTTCACACTAGTCTTCATTCACATTATGTTTCATACAATCATTCCCATGTATTATGGTTTTTTCCTTCTGCTTCAGGATTTATTTCTACAAATAGCGCAGGAGGACACCAGCCCCATGCATGGCAGTCCAGGATTTCACACTGTCCTTCTGTCCTCAGATGGGGAACTTAATTATGGAGCCTTTGTGGGGGCCTGGGCACCTTTAGGACCCTGATTTTTAGCAGGAGCCTGGCTTGAGGTCTTAGCTGCTGCCTGAGTTGAGAACTTCGCTGGATTTTGGCCAGTTAAGTCTGAGCTCCTTGGCAATGCAGGCTCAAGCATGCTTCCCAAGCCTGGGATAGGCGATTTAGTCAAGTCAGCTGAGCTTGTGGTTGACGCCCCTCGGGATCCTGGGCTTGACCTCTTTGGGCTTGACAAGAGCATTTACAGTCTCGGTGTGTTCATCAATGGCCTTGGCATTGTTGGCCTGCATCATCTTCAGGGCCTTGGTGTTGTGCTTCTTGACAAAGCACATGTTCCTCAGGAATTTGGAGGCTACCCCCTTAAGAGACGTGCATGGTTGTGATTGGGGTTCTTGATATCATATCTGGGACTGGTTGTGTTGCTGTGGTTCTTTTGACTTAGCTGTCACCATATCTCCCAGAGTGCCAGCAAGTGGAAGAGCCCATACATTATGTTTTTTATAAAATTAATCACCATTAGTCTGTGACTACCATTACCCTGTCTCTTCAGGTCCCCACTGAATCATCTTTCCCATTTCCTTTACCTCTTCCCTTGACCCACGAAATTGTAGAACTCTCTGAGTTTTCTCCTACCCATCTTGATTCCTCTGCCCACACTCCTTCCTCTGTTTGATCCACATACATGTTTTACTATTTACCCTTCTATTTTCACTTTTATTATTATCAGAATTGATTCTGAGAGAATTAGCTTTGTCATTTTATTTCATTTTATAATTAATATTCACTTTATTGCAGCTCTGGGTGATTAAAGTATTTGGAGCTCACTCTTCAACTGAAAGATTGTTGGAACCCATCCACAGGCATCAAGGATGAGAGTCCTGGGTTCAGTTCCCTGAAGAAAGGCCATTAAATCCCCTGGAGAAGTTCTGTTTTGTAGCACAGCTCTTATTATGAACTCAAATGGTGTCCCTGGAAACTGGTTTGGTGGTTTTAAAAAAATTGTAAATCTTAGGTTTTTCATACAATTTACACATCTGACCCTGTTCATAAATCTAGCAAGTTTTTACATTCAGAGCTTTTGTTTCATTTATAGATTTGACTATTGGCAACTTTTCTACATTAAAAACTGCATTTTAAAATTAAGCCTATTTAGCTTTATTTCTGAGTTCTGTGTCTAATTAAAGAATAAACCCTTCTCAAGTAATTAATTCTCATAAACCTATTAA